TGATGTTTGCTCGTTTGCTCGTTTGCTCGTTTGCTCGTTTGCTTGTTTGCTTGTTTGCTTATTTGCTTGTTTGCTTGCTTTCAATTGCTTAATTCCTAATTTTTCGTATCTGATCGTATTTAGCCAACACAGTATCATCCAACCATCGAAATTTGGCATGGCTGTAGGTTGGGGGAAAACGAGTGGCAGAGACTCGTTAGCCAAGACTAGTGGTCTTGCTGACACGCTCAAAGAAGCATGCTTACCAGTTGTCTCCCAAAATGTGTGCCAGCGTGCATTCTTAGATGAAGGTTACACTGTCACTCGAAACATGATCTGCGCAGGGCACGCTAGTGGTGGGAAAGACATTTGTCAAGGGGATTCCGGTGGTGGATTAGTCTTCTTCGACAACCAAAACAATAAGTGGGTCCTTGGAGGGATTGTTAGCTGGGGAAGTAGCCAAGGTTGTGGTCTTCCAAACAAATATGGCGTCTACGTTAAGGTGACAAATTTTATTGGTTGGATTCAGAGAAACCTATTTTAGACGTTACGAACTAAAAGAAACTTAGCATAGTATGGTACTCTGTATAAAACGAACTAAGACTCCAACAGTACAGCAGTTGCATTGGGCTTTCTACACACTGTGAGCTGGAAACGATGCACTGTGAACTGGAAAGTGTGATGGTAGTATAAAAGCAACATTGGGATATAAACAAAAAGTGAACTCAGTCTAAAGGAAAATGGTAGATTACACCTTCTTGGGACAATGAATGAATTATGAGCCATGGCGAGAGAAATTAGAAAATTTCTAGAAGTAAAATCATCTTTGGATCCCAGTGGAAACGGGTCTTTGTGAATGGTAATGGTACCCTTTTTTATTTTCACATGATGAACAACCATGACTGAATCTTGTTCTGGTTAATGCCTGATTCTGGTTAGCCTCGCCACGGGAACACAACAACATCTAGAAATAAACGTCTTGGATTTTAGGCCTGAAAGAATGGTCTTGGCCATGAATTTCGTTGGCATCACTTGGACCAATTATAGTACCCCTCTGTTCGCTGAAATGTATTTTTACAATACATTATAAGCATTATATTTTTTTATTAAAAAGAAACTTAGCTGTGCTAAAAGTACGTAGTACATTGGCGGTGATGTTTGATGGAAGAATCAAACTACTTCGCGAAATACTCGATTGACAGCACTAACCCGTGGTAATTAATGAGATACAGGCATTCCTATGCCAGTTAAATGACGAAGACATGGCGGCCATGATGGTGGAATAGACCATTTTCGACTTCCAAATTACCGCTGTGTTTCTTGATTACAGACTCATTTACTCAGGGTTAGCCTCGTATAAGTGTCTAAATACTCACAAGTACCAATGGTAAAGTAAACACTTCACAACTTCATCAATGCAATTTGAAAACCACGGAAATTCTTTGGAAAACACAGATATTCTATATAAAATCAAGGCTTAAACCTGAGCATAGAACTCGAATCTGGAGTAATAACAAAGGAGGTTTATAATAAATTCTTTGATGGATCCCACCAACATGGCCGCTATGACGTATTGAAAACTAACGTCAGTGCAGCACTTCATCATAGGAAGTAGTCAATTTCGATATGAACACGCAGTGCATGTCGGAATTTCTCCAATCCTGTGACCAACTTTGCGAAGACTTCCATCCATAATACCTGCTATGTCCCTAAAATTCCTTCATGGAAAGACTAGATTCTTTAGATATTTTCTATTAGATTGCATATTTTATATATTTAAAAAATCCGTGTCCATCAGTTTGATCGTGTTAGTCATCCCGAGGTCGAGGGCATTGGAGTTAGCATTGCAGTACATTGTTGAACTATCCTAAGGGACATGTTAAAGATGGCGTCTATTTCATCCCTCAAACAATCCCACAATACACTGCAAAGGCTACACGACTCAGGTTTTTCCTCAACTTCGAAATGGCTTTAAATACAAACTGTTTGCATGCATATGTATTACGCTAGATGCGAAAGTTTTTGCACATGGGAGGGGAGGGTAACGTTGTGGTAGAAATAGAAAAAATTCACAGACCTGGAAAGGTACGCAATAAGGAACTTTTAATAAATTGTCAAGGGAGGGGTAGGGTCTCTAATGACTACCATTCTCCCTACCTTCCCCTCCCCCTCTTCTTTTCTTAAAGTCTTCTGCTTAGTTAGCAATTATGGGATACTAATTTTCTAGATCTTTTAATACTATTTTAAAAAAAGATGATGAAAATCAAAATTTATAACAATAGACCCCTTGCATCAATAGACCCATTGCATGCGACGTCAAAGCAGCTCAATTTGGACAGCAAAACAAAAGAATTGCAATCTCATGAGAACTGGAAACTTATTGTTATGTCCTCTAAATAAAGCTACATTCCGACGTGCTGCAAGGGTTCTATTCCAAGAACAGCTCGATTCGGAGGACCAATTCAAACAATATGATTGTATTCTTGTGAGAATAAGAATTTACTGCTTTGTCCTCCAAATTGAGCTTCTCTGAGAATTGTTGCATGGAAGTTTAGTCCGTGAAAATAGGTCATACCTTTTTCCCTTCTTTCCTTCCTTCCTTTCCTTCTTTCTTTCAAACCTCCTTTGCCTGCATACAAAGTACGGCCTATCCCAGTACATCTCCAGTGTAATATAACTTATACAGCACAGCTGACATCACAATAGAGTGCATACCATATATCCGGTCTACTTAGCTTACTTATTTGTGCAAATGTGTGCAATTTCTTATCAAGATTTCCAATGACATACAGTATGCACTCTACCAAAAGAGCAGCGTAAATTATATTGCACTTCTAAGTACCTCAAAGTACACCCACCCACCCAGCTACCCATAAACAAAATTTTTGCTTTTTTTCTAAAAGTTCACTTTCATTAAATATTTTTCACCGTAAAAGTGATTGTCATCTTTCTGGGAAAGTCTGTGGTAGCTTGACTAAAGCACATTCAATAAGTATAAGGTTTTAAATAACTTCTATGTAATCTATTTTACGGGCATGTTTCGGTTATTTTGTAGGTAGAAATAAACAAACCAATAAACTGTCAAAAAATTGTTGAATTTTCTATTCCTTTGTGTGTGCGTTTGATTTTCTTTGTTTGTTAATTTGTTTTTTACCTAATTATCTTGGTCATGGGTGTAATATATTTTCTCATGTCAGACCACATGTCATTCTCTTGAGAATAAGATTCTTTATTTAAGTTGCAACCATATTCATGTGTCTTTTCTTGTGGAACCGTTAAACAAAGAAATGATACTCTAGGGAATGATACGTGGAATGAAATGGAAAATATTACGTTCAAGATAATGAGGTGTATTATATTTTCTTGCTCGTGCAAACTTTCTGTACTATAATTGCACGTGGGCATGCATTATAAGGAAACTTAATTAAAACTTCAGGTTGTTTTTTTCTGTTGATTCATACATGTATCGTATTCATCCGTACGAAACGCAAACTCTACTTTACTCACCGTGCAACGAACGAACGTACGTATGAACAACCCTCAATTTTAATTATGCGCAGAATATTCATGTGTTCCAGTGAAGGTCCGTGGAATTTCAAAGTGTTTGTATTGTTTTCTTTGCCGTTGTTATTCGTTAATATTGTGACGCTGAAATGATGCCAATCCTGGGCAAGTGAGTCTGAAAGTCGCTGTATCAGAAAGTTTAGAACACTTTCGAAAGGAGCAGCAACAAACAGAACATCCGTGAGTACGATTATATTGTTTCTTATGCCTTAACATTATTAATGCATGAAAACTAACTGCATGATTTGTGTCAGTGTATATGTAATGGCTATTTATCTTGGTCATTCTAAGGTAAGAAGGCTAAGACTCGTCGGGATTGGCTTCAATTGCCGTACAGAGATTAAGAGCAGCAACAAAACACACCTAAAAAATTGGTAAGTTAACTACCAAAACTAATTTTTAATATTCTTACGATATAAAAACCAGTATACGTTCCTTTCTATGAAGGTATAAAAGCACCTTGCTTGGGAATCCTGTGGTTCTTCGATCAGATTTCCTAGTCCGAGCGGGGGCTAGAACATAGTTTTCTTCGTACATTTAATTTTTTCTTAATTAGGAAATGGACCCTACTTAAAAGTATCGTAGTTGCGAGGGATAAAAATACAAAAGAAATCTCATTTTTTTTCTCGATAGAATAATTGTGGCTTTTTTTTTTTTTTTTTTTTTTTTTTTTTTTTGTATTTCCATGTTAGCCTCCTATTCACGACAGTTTTAAGAAGGCCCATTTGGTTAAAACAAATCAACTTGCTTAGCAAACCAACTGTCTTCTTTATTCGACTCTGTAATCAGTCGCGGACCCAGGATCTATCGGTGCATCTTTACACTTTCCCTTCAATTTTTTAATTTCACTGTGTAAGGGTTTTGGGGGGGGGGGGGGGGATGGGGGCTTATAAGAAACCAAATCCAGCTCAAACCCTTTCCCCGGTTTTTGAAGGAACATATATATTATGCAATCAGCTTCATATGCTTCGAGATTACATATTTGTCCTCGTTATTGAATAAGGTTTCGAGAGGAGGGAAAGTAACACTTTGGCAAATAAGAAAAACAAATTTCTCAATTAGAACTAATCAAACAAGATTGCTGTCAGCTCTGCTAACGGAATTGCTAAACCACCGATAATTGACAAGAAAATTAAGTGCGAGAACGAGCTGGCAGCTGCATTGTCACGTGACCTGTAGAGCTGATCACGTGATCGATGAGAATTATTTCATTGAGCTAGTCACGTGAAGGGAATATATGTATAGATATATAGATATATAGATAGATATATATAGATCGATAGATATATAGATAATACTTATGGGGAAAAAATTATAAATAGCTACGTGTTGGATATTTACATATACGTGGTGGAAATTGTATAATAACGTGAAGGAATTGTTAATGAATTGGAAAATCACGTGACTCAGTAGAATATATCATTAAAAGTTACCAAAATTCACTATTTAATATATGGAGGAAACGAGGTAATCACATAATAGTTTAAAATTTACCATCACATGACGAACAAGGGTATTACATGGCAGAAATTTACAATCATGGACACTGATCCATGAATCAGTTACGCGTTAGAAAAAGATATCAAAACACACGAGAAAGAGGCGGGAAACTCAACATGTTTGTTCACGTGATCATATTAGAGCGAAGAGCATAATCACGTGACCAGGGGTAAGTCACGTGATGAAGAAAGTAATCAACTCAGATTAACACCTAATAATCAGTGTTAATCAACTTTTCACCATAACAATCTTTTTTGAGATTTTGAATCAAATTTATCTTGTTTGAAGTTCGAATATATAGAAGACAAAATATATCTGAATCATTATATTTATATAAATACAGGTTCCTCATCTAATTTCTTTCTTTTCTTTCTTCTTTTCTTTCGTTTTTCTCGTTTCCTTTTTTATATAACTAAAAATATATTAATTTTCAGATATTTTTCTTTTTAACGAATGAAGTTTAATTCTTCAGGTAAAATTCGCATATTTCTGGCCGTGCATAGCATTTGTATTAGCAAAACGATTCTCCCTATAAATTGAATGGTTTTTAAAAATCACTTATTTTTTTATTAAATTAAATTAGTCTGTTTCTTCAAATCATCTTATTTAAATCTCACTCTTATTTTGATGATTTTAAGTTTTCTAATAGTTCTTCCTAATTTTAGTTTTTTTAGATATAAAACATTGGCTGATATGACCCAAGGTCGCGAACAAGCAATAGAATAATTGCCGTGAAATATACGTCATTGTGCTCTAGAATATAGGAAATGATTCTGAGGAGTTTGCTTGTTTTTGTCGTTAATATGTGTTAGGCAAAATATTAAAAAAGGTACAAAGCGTGACTTCAATTAGCAGTGTCATATTATTTTCTAGGTTCCTATCTTTTTTTTATTTCTTTTTTCTTATATTTTTTTACTCGTTTTTTCTTTTCTTTCTTTTTTTTTTTTTTTCTACTAAGCTCATTTTTTTCCTTTCTCTCTTTCTCTCTAACCTCTTTTTCTCTTTTTCTCCACTTTAACCTACCGTTAATCGAATTTACAATTCTTTTATTTGAAACTGCAAGTCCATCCATCCATATTATTAATAGTATAACTTCTTACAAATCAGTTTGAATCTCATTTTAAAATCGAGTTAGGTCATGCAATTTTGACGTTTTCTATAGCCACTTCTGATGGAATAAGTCACTGTATCTGTTTTAAAATGGAATAAAAATATATCTGGCACAGATTGAAAATATTTTTCGGCGGATTTTGAGATTGATTGCATTGGATTACCAAGTTTAAAGCTAATTGTACAAAAAAGTAAATATTGGATGAGAGTTTATACTAACAAAAAATCCAAAAACAGTAGCTAGCGTCGTCATGGTCGTAAAGCATTTGTTTAAGTACCCTTGGAAGTGCATTTTAAGTAACAAATTCGTATTCTTATCTCGCATCTTCACTTAGGAGCCAAAAAGACAAGCTTTTGTTTGGAGCCCCCTGAATAATTAATGTTAATACAGATTAGTTTGAACTAATTGGACTATATAGAGGGATTTGTTTGTGGTGACGATAGCAATTTGCGAGTTACAACAAGTAATCGCTTTTTCTATTTCACTATTTTACTCTGCCATGGATTAACACCGCGGCTGGCTAGTGTTTTCAAAACAAGCAAGCTTCCTTGAAAAAATATATTTTCAAGCTCGCGCAAATCAATCTATGTTCGCGCATTAATGTATTCTTTCACAAACAGACTCTTTTCAAAAAAAAAATTTCTTTCTTTCTACTTTAGTAGAATGTAACGATTTTTCTAGTCATATTTTACTCGAAAGCACATATATATATGGGACAATCACTAGCGATTCTGTTTGCCTATATATAAATATATATGAATCGTTGTTGCTAGCCCAATAAATATTTATAGTAAATGAAATGTTAAGTTTAGCATGTGTGGATGGTTGTGAGATGTGTTTGGGTTAAGCCCAGGCGTAGTATTCACCTAGGATACAAACTGTTTGTAAAATCGCACTGACAGGTGGTGATTGTAGTTCAAAATGGATCGCTAATTATATCAGTGGCTCACTGTGGTCAACTTTTGGATCACATCCCTCTTCAACCTAATTTCAATAACTGTTCGCTCCCAGCGTAGCTTAAACAATAGGGAGGTGGAATAGGTATAAGAAGTCAAATAGTAACACTGGTATTGTGATTCAAATCGTTAGCGAGCTACGAAGCGAATAAAACTGCAGTGATCTGGAGCGGAGTTTACGATCCTGGCGGATAATTCGCAAATATCAAGGCTGCAATTATAACTTTAGAGAGCAAGTTAGCTCACACTTTTGGAAGCCAGATTTTTTTGTGATTTACTCCCTCTACCTTCGAGGACATTGTGAAGCTGAAGTTTTAGGAGAAGTGTAGCATGAACGATCAAAAATATAGTCTAAATAGCGACGAAGAGATGAATCTGAACTCTCATAACGGTCCATATTCTCCTGATGCGATGATCGCGCCAAGCAGCCGTAATGCAGGAACAGTCCAAGCTAGCCACTCCAAAAGGCCTCGTATTTTCATCTTAATCATTGTACTTCTCCTAGTGACCTGTGGTGTTCTGATCCTCTTGTATTCCCTAGAGCGAGGGAGACGAATCAAAGCCGAGAACCTTAATCAAGAACCGCACTTGAAGACACTTTCCAATCAGATCTGCACGACCGAGCACTGCATCCACACCGCCTCAGGTACTAATTTGACAAGTGTAATATTGAATGTGTTCGGCAAACGCTCTTTTTTCCTTTTAACTGTTTTGTCTAGCTTCCTCCCGAGTGTGTCAGATTCTATGCAACATTGTTTTCCCAAAATTTGAATTTTTGTTTCTACAAAATTAAAAATAAGAGCATGCAGCGCGTAAAACATCCTCTTCTTCCGACAACTGTCAAATCCACAATTTTTCATCGATTCTTATAACCTTACCTCCTACACTGACACTAAGTTAAGTAAATTTCTATTGAGGCTTGATCGTTAACCCTTTTTTTCTCTATTCTTCCACTGTTTCTAAATTCATACACCTATATATTTGTGTATATATATATTTTTTAAACCTCCCACGTCCAGAGTTTTAATTTACCCGAGAAGAAACCCTTCAACAGCTGTTAAAATATTAGGCCAAATAAAAAATATCACTGTAGAATTGTTTGAGATTTTGACAATATGATGATATTTACTATTTCCTTTATCGATTGTATTTTAGCGCGTTGTTAGGGGAACTACCGCTTAGTGCAACAAGACAGGTGAAGGTGACCCTTATAGAAACGATATTAGTTAAGTTTTATGTGTGTTTACGCTCAACTCGCCCAATGAAGACTTTTGAAATAATCAAACCTTCCTAACGAAGATCTAGAAAATTCGATAAACACATTTAATCGTTTTACTGCTCTCAAAATGAACCAGCTAGCCACAAAAAAGACCCGAGAGCTTAACAGTATTCATTCCACTCGCGATGACAAATTAAACAACAAGCCTCCTTGAAAGAACCAATGAGAGAGCATTATTATAAGATGGCAATTTAGTCGAGCGATTAAGTAACTGTGTATTTAATTAGGCAGAATGTCTTCACTGATATATTGGCAAGACTTATTTACACTTAGAAAAATGATGTAACATATTACTAAATAACCGTTTGCGGTTTTGACTATGTCAATACAAATAATTCATCGATCACAATTCAAGGCTCTATTTGTGTGTGTCTTTGTGTCTGATCAAGAGAATCTATCGCTTGTCTATTTATCGGGATTTTCCTCTTGAGATCGCGTTTTTAATATGCTTCCTTCGATATCCTAAGCTGATAGGGTTAATGCATAAAAGTATTTGGTTTTTGACAGCAGATTCAGTCTGCGATTTATCACCAGTAGAGAAAGCTGTCGGGAAGCTAGTCCTAATGATAATAGATATCGATGCCCATTCTTTGGACGCCCGCCCAGCTTGAAAATAACGATCAGTGAAAAATAAAATGGGAAGAAACATGGTTTATTAAATGAAAATATCGAAAGTTTTGCTTATATGAAATTGAAGGAAAAGTGGTAAAGAAGAGGGAAAAATTGCAGGGAAGAAAAATGGTAGGGAAGAAAAGGAAAGGAAAGGAAAGGAAAGGAAAGGAAAGGAAAGGAAAGGAAAGGAAAGGAAAGGAAAGGAAAGGAAAGGAAAGGAAAGGAAAGGAAAGAAGGAATCGGAAAAAAGAATTAAACAAAAGGAAGGCAGAAAAGAGGTAGAGAAAGATGTGAGGGACGGGAAGGAGGGAAAGTTAGAAACAACTGAAAGAAATAAAATAATAAATGGAACGAAAGGAAGAAAGAACTACATCTTTTTATAAACGCCTAAACGTCTATAAACTTGATAATGCAGTACAGCCGATCTGTGAGTCTAAAACCTTTTTTCATATGGCCGTATCATTGATCTAGCTAATGCACTCACTCTGAGTCAGTCGACGTAAAAAAATCAGTGATTTCAATCAATAATCTAATGCATAATGTTACTCTCAACTTCGTCTTAGGGTATAATCTTATGGTCTTCCTAGCCTCCAGAGCAGGGTACTCGCTAAGGTTTTTGTTGATTTGGTTTTTGTTGCTGTCTGAGAGGGGTATGTGTGTGTGTGTACGTGTCAAAAGATTCTAGCCGAGGGAGAAACCCTCTACTAATAGGGGACACCTAACCGATATAAAAATTATAAAAATATGCAATATATATAACTAAATAAGATAATTATAATATAAAGTATATATAAGTATAAATTGTTCTAAAATAAAAATTCTAAGCTATGATACATATAAGTTGATAAAATATAATCTCTAATAACTGCTTTTAACTATTTCAAAGGAAGCATCCTTTGCATCCGTCATCAATTATAAAGAGGCTATGGTCTTCGCATGGTAGTTTTTTCACTCTAAGTTTCATTAAGAGTATCCCTTATCTTCATTTAAGGAAGGCGTTTTCAATAATTGCCTAAAACTTCGAATCAATTTTCGTAGATGAATGGATCGCTGGATTTGACCGAATTATGAATCCTTGAAAGAGTCTGATAAGTGCACCGATAAAATAACGATTTATCAGTTTGATTCAAGCTCTGGAGTCTATTATCTTGATTTCTGTCATCTAGAAGCACTTAGTAATGATTTCGTTCATTGATAAGATCATGGAATCTTATGTGGTTGGGTAAAGGTCTTGACAAATACTCATAGAATATTCATGTGTTCAAATGAAGGTCCCAAGAATTTTACAATGTGTTTATTATCGAAGTTGTGCATTTTTTATTAAGCCGTTCGTATTTGCAAATATTTTAATTTGACGCTGATTTGAGTCTAGCCATGCGTAAATGAGTCTGTAATCAAGGAACACAGCGATATTTTACAACCTCGAAAAAGGTGTTGTTAATATATATATATATATATAGGAATAAGGAATACATAAAGGAATACATTAAAAGACAAAAGAAAAAATTCAGCTTCAGTGATCTTCTTTTGTTTTTTAATATAATTCCTATCCCACTAAATCACTAATGTTCTATTTTCGTATGTCAACGTTCTTGCAAGTAGCTGTATATATATATATATATATATATATAATATTATTATATAATATTATTGTAAATGCTTTGGATTGTTAGTGGATAATAGCGCCATATAAATAAATTTTATCAATTAATAAATTAATAAAATTTAATAAAATATTAATAAATTTTATTTATTTATTTATTTATTTATTCATTTTCATTTAAATTAACAACTATCCTTTTCCATTTCAGCCACACTGAAGAACCTAGACAAGAAAGTCAATCCTTGCGATAATTTCTACATGTTCTCGTGTGGAGGCTGGAAGCAAGAACATCCGATACCAGACAGCATGTCGTCATGGGACCAAGTTGAAGAAATAAAACTACAGAACATCAAAACCTTGAGAAGACTGTTGGAGAGTAAAGAAACACGTGACAAATATTCTCAGGTAACTATAGTAACCAGAAGAAATGTAGCACTGAAACTAGTGCATGAGTTGCATGTGTCCCGAAATTATCTGGGGAACTGGATGAACTGTCTGTCTGCCTGTCTGTCTGTCTGTCTGTCTCTCATCATTTGAACCGACGTTTCTTTTTCTTTTTTTCTTTCTTTTTTTTTTTTT